ATATGGCTTTTTATGCTTCCCAGATGCTTGATGAAATGCCGAAGTAAGAGTTCATGATATTGCTTCAAATATGAAAGAATGACATCAATTCTTGTTGAAGCGAGCAAATTAACCAGGTTAATTTCAGTGATGATTCAGCTCTCGCTCTGTAGGGTAAATCTTCGTGAATTCCGTTAAGGATGTACAAATGTTACAAACAAACCAAAATTGCCGTACCAGAAAATCCTATTCAAGAATTGATCAAGGTCAACTGCCTCTTGAAAAACCTCGTTCATTCCGGTCAATTCACAGAAGCCCTCCATCTCTTCCGACAAAGTCACTCATCGCTCCACTTGAGACCTGACCACTACACTGTATCAACTGCCCTCACCGCGTGTGCCAACTCCCACGAGACCCGAGTGGGCGACCAACTCCATGCCCACTCAATTCAATCTGGGCTTAAAAGATTTCCTCACGTTACCAACACTCTCCTCTCACTCTATGCAAAATCTTGCCACTTGGATTCGGTTAAAAGGGTCTTCGATGAAATAAAGGAACCCGATGTTTATTCACGTACTACCTTGTTGTCTGCTTGTATGAAGCTGGGCGAAGTTGACTATGCCCGCCACGTGTTCGATCAAATGCCTCAAGGAAATGTGGCGGTTTGGAATGCGATGATCACAGGGTGCACCGGAAACGGGCATGATGAGGTTGCTTTTGACCTTTTCCCCAGTATGCATACCTTGGGTGTAAAAGCTGATAAGTACACTTTCGCTAGCGTTTTAAGTTTATGTTCTTTCGAGCACTTTGATTTCGGAAGGCAAGTGCATTCTTTAGTTTTAAAGACTGGATTTACGAGGAGGGTGTCGGTTATTAATTCTTTGCTCACCATGTATTTTAATTGTATAAGTGTTGCGGATGCTTATGGTGTGTTTGAGGAAATGGGATTTGAAGTAGGAGACAGCATAACTTATAATGCAATTATAGCTGGCTTAGTGAGCATCGACAGAGACGAAGAAGCTCTGTTCATTTTCAAAGATATGCAAACTGCCGGTCTAAAACCAACCGAACTGACTTTCGTGAGTATTATGGGAGCATGTCTCTTCTCTAAATTTGCTCGTCAAGTACACGGCCAAGCCATAAAGATGTGTTTTGAGGACTGTACTTCAGTGAACAATGCAGCAATTAGCATGTACTCGAACTGTGGGGACATAGATTCAGCTCGTTTGGTTTTTAATAGGTTACAAGAAAAGGATATCGTGTCATGGAATGCAATAATAGCAAGCTACGCGCAAGAGAATTCGAGCCACGACGCCATGCTGGCATATCTTCAGATGCAAAGTAACGAAATTGAGCCCGACGAATTCACAATCGGTAGCTTACTAGCAAGCTCGGACATGGTCGAGGCAGTTGAGATGATTCAAGCAGTTGTCGTAAAAAAGGCCCTCATCTCGAAAGTCGAAGTTTCAAATGCATTGCTTTCTGCTTTCTGCAAGAATGGTGAAACCGAACAGGCAAGCAAGGTATTCAGCGGTATGGAGTCGAGGAACTTGATAACGTGGAATTCTATGATTTCTGGATTTTTATTAAACGGGTCCCCTTTTTGTGCTCTGCGCCAATTTTCGACGTTATTAGTACAAGGATGGAGGCCAAATCACTACACACTCAGCCTTGTTTTGAGCGTTTGTGCTAGCATTTCGGATCTACGGTACGGAAAACAGGTCCACGCGTACTTACTGAGATTTGGGTATTTCTTTCGTACTTTGCTAGGCAATGCTCTCATTGCATTGTACTCTAAATGTGGGGATCTAACTTTGTCGTTGAGGGTTTTCGAAAATATGACAGAAAAGGATTCTATCTCATGGAACTCGATTATCTCCGCCTACGCACAGCATGGAGAAGGCAAAGAAGCTATCCAATGGTTTGAGGCTATGCGATATTCGAGTGAAGTGACACCCGATAAGGCCACTTTTACAGCAATCCTTTCGGCTTGCAGCCGGTCGGGTTTAGTTTCCGAGGGTATTCGCTTCTTCGATTTAATGGTCAACGGGTATGGTATTGACCCTGAAGTAGACCATTTTTCTTGCATAGTTGACCTTTTGGGCCGGGCCGGGTTTCTCGATATAGCAGCGGGCTTGATGAAAGATAGGGGGGTTGGTATTGAACCGAGTGTGTGGTGGAGTTTGTTGAGTTCGTGCGCTGCTCACGGGCATTTGCAGTTGGGTTGTATAGCTGCGGAGTTTCTTATTGAAACGGGAAAAGATGATCCTGCGTTTTACGTTGTTCTTTCGAATCTTTATGCTAATGCAGGGAAATGGGAGGAGTCTGCTAAATTGAGGGAGTTGATGAAGAAATGTGGTGTGGTGAAACAACCTGGAAGCAGTTGGATTGCATCCTGACCTTTTCACAGGGTATGTTTGTAATTTTTCACGTAAGAGTTTTATACCGAATATTCTACAATTTTCACATTTCCTAAGAAATAAGGTATTTTCTCAATAAATAATTAAAATAAATTAAACGTGATATTGAGAAGAAGAACAAAAAATTATAATTAAAAAAAAAAAGAAAAAAAAAGAAAAAGAGAATACATGGTATTTTTCTTTATATATATATAATGAGAAAATGCCACGTCATCGTCGCCTAGATCTTATCCTTGCCGATGAAAATTGATCTCGTAGTTCCTCCTGTTGCAACCATACACGTATACAATTTTAATCATATATTAGCTGCAGTGTATATACTCCACATATAAAAGCCATTAATTAATTAATATTGGACCATGATTTAAAAAAAAAAATGGTAGAAAAATAATTAGGGGCACGTGTTGTTATATGTTGTGTGTGGGGGACTGGTATTACAAGGACAAGTGTGGTCAATTTAATTGAAAAACGGTGCCGCATTTGTCAAACTTATGTTAGAAATCATTGTTCTAAGCCCTCCTGACTAAATTTCTGGTCAAAATAATGCATCCTGCAAAAGCGTAAATTTAATAAAAAGCCTGAAATATATATGTAATGGGTTTTAAAAGTATGGCTGAAAATTCCAACACTTGTGATGTTGGACCACTGACCAAACAAGTAACGACATTTTGTAATGAATTGATACGATAAAATTAATACACATGACTCAAAACAGCCCTACAACAACTAGTAATTATATTATACACATAATAAATGCATGAGGGTTTGCTCGATTCACACGACTCCTCTCATTTAATGATCTTTGTTTGTTTTAATCTGACCAGGTGGGCTTAAGAGTAATTTAGTTTGATTATAGTACATACAGTATATTTGTACGTACTTCACACGTGTATATTTGTAATACATATAGTATCTTCTATTGTATGTCATATCTTGTATTTTATAAATATTATTGCATTAGTCGCAATCATGAGTTTTATACTCTACAAATAAAATATGATACATTAGTGTATTTTCTATATTGATCAAAATGATCAAGAAAAGAGATAGATCATGCACCCTAATCTAATCTGTTTCATATTAAGTGTCATTTAGGGTTGTTGTATCTTAATTGAGAAAGTTATTAGATAGTTTTTATTATAGGGTAAAACTTCTTATTTGACAAATACAAAATTGTTCTACTTTGAAATTTGGTCAAAGTGACACTTAATATTAAGTAATTAATTTCTTGTTCAACTTTGATTACTATAGTCGGAAGCTAAGTCTAGTCGCCATGAATTGATTGAGGCTACCTCCATTATTGATCTGATTTTTAACTTCTCAATTGTGATTGTTTCATTTGGGGAAGCAGCAAAATCAAACTAGCTAGGAAATTAATAAATTCATTTAATTGGTGTAATTAAATTAAGTGTAATGCAGTACTAAATTACTATTTAATTGGCATAAGATAAATACATTACTTACCATGTGATCAAATATATATAGCTAGTCGTGATATGGGTGGTAATGGGTTCGAGCCATGCTCGAACCCTCTGGGCTCGATAGTGGCTCGGACGACGACGACTCCCACTGATCTAAATTCACACCAAATAATCTCACCCTCTTTAAATTCCCACTTGCTGCTGCTGTTTCCTTCCGATCTACATGCAACATATTTAATTATTAATACATATATTCTACATTAATTATTAAACAACTACTTAACCCTAATCTAATTATATTCTGTAAAGTACTGCATATAAAAATAACTAAGTTGATCTCGTAAGAGCCACTAATTATATCTTTATTTTTTATTTTTTTATAAGTAAACTAATTATTATATGTATCTTACCCTATTCATGTATGAGATCTATATATAATAATGTAATAATTTTTCACAGAGTGTAAAAAGAATATAAATAAGAATCTTCCTCGGAAAATGCAAGAACAGTAGAGTAAAATTAAAAGGGAAGAAAACAAAAAGGGTATTAATGGAATTTAGGGCAGAGAAAATGAATAGTACCTGCATCTGCTGCATGAGGACAATCGTTTGGTGGTTGGTAATGGTAAGAGAGAGAAGAAGAACAGTAGTCTTGATAATATTGGCTTATTAGATAAGGATGCCCCGCCGGATTATTATAAACTAACCGGCTCCACCCGCCACCGCCGCCGCCGGCAGGTGGTGTCCGCCTAACATTAGCACTAGCACTAGCAACGCTACTGATCTCTTGTCCTCCTCCGCCGCCGCCGCCCGAATTTCTCCGCCTCCACCCTATAAACAGACGGCCGACATCCTCTGGGTGGCGGAGGAAGAGAACAGCATCGCCGGCGTCGAGCCTTTTCTCCTTGACGAAGCGGCTCCACCCTCTCGTCAAGACGTAGCTCTGGCTGCTGTTCCAGTATGAGTACCGGAATCTCCACGATTTTCCGACCTCATCCTCGAAGCTCAATACTAAGCCCTTCTCGCCTGTGTCTCCTCCTCCGCTTCCGCCGCCGTTGTTCAACGGGAGATACTTCTCGGCGTGTTGCTTGGGTATGACGAGGCGGTTGAGTTTTCCGACGTCGCTGGGGGTAAGTGATTTCTCGAACAAGGGCTCTTTCGGTATTTCATCCACTACTTCATGTTGGCCCAATTCCGGCGGCCGTGACGCGGTACTGTTGGTTTCTTCCGGTGATTCTTCTTCGGTTTCATTGTTGTTGTGGCTATAGCAGAAAGCCGCGCTCTGGCTGCAGAACGCGGCGGCGGAGGTGCCGTGGTTGAGATGAAGAGGGGCGGCGGCGGCAGAATTGGGGATCGGATATGACCACCAGTCTGAAGGGTAGTACTGATTTATTGACATTTTCGCAACTACTGATCGATATATGGAAAGTGGAAACAGTGGGATATATATATATATATATATATATATTAAGGAAAGATATGGAAGAAAAATAATAATAATAATATTTATTATTATTATTATTATTAAAATAGTAATTTTGTTGTTTATGTGGAAAACTGTGAGAACTATCTGATTGATGATTGAAAGTATGGAAAAAGAAAATTAGATGATTGAACAGTTGGAGTTAAAATTTTATAATACATTTGCAGTCCCCAATATATATATATATATATATTTTTTTTTTTCGTTAATTTATTTTTTATATTAATTATAAATAAAAATCACACAATATATATAGTATATATCGGTGTTGTGAGGGAGTAGTGTAACTTTATTTTGGCAAGACGAACACGAAATCTAGGTTTTAAGAAGGACTGGATTGCAATTATGAGATTCGAAATAAGGGTCAGCTGTTGCTGGATTTGCTGAAACTGAACTTACCGTAAAACTCAGAATAATGTCAGCATACCCTTTTCATCTTTTTTTTCCTTTTTAATTTTAATTTTTTTTGTATTTCAAGTCTGTCACTGTCAATAAGTAACATTTTTGGTAATTGAATAATCCATGTGTCTCTAATTAATCGTCGTTTTAGTTTGATCAAAATAATCCGATTCAATTGATATTATAAACCTTCGTTTCGTTTCTAAGATAACATTATGAAAATTCAGTTATATTGTTAATAATCTCCCAACTAGCTAAGAATAGAGCTATTTTTTCCACAATTGCGAGTCTTATAGGACTGAACAAACATACTTACTATAAGGTAGAGTTATTTAATTAATTATAATAACAAAAAAATGGGTAAACTAATTGTATTATTAGATTCTATTTGAGACATATATTAATGTATTTCCGAGAATTACGCAATGAGATGAGATTTGTAGGAATAGAGAATAAATTGATAGAGCGTTTCAGGAATAGGTATCGTGTTTGAATTGGAACCTCAAACTCAAGAGTATTTAATTAATATATTCATGTGTTCCCCTGTCACATAATAATTATTAATTACGCCACACCCTGTCGTCCCCCTATCTCTTCCTGTTTTCTATCTTTAATTCATCTCTCATCATTTTCTGTGTACTTGCTGTTTTCTTATACATCTTCCGACAATATTTTCTGTGAATTAATATCTGCAATAATATTACAATTTCAAAAAAATACTTTTTTTTCTAATTCTAATTTTAAGAAAGATTTTTCGTTAGCAAATACTACTATTCATTAATACGAATAATTAATTAGAATAAAAATAACATTGTCTCTTGATAGTTGATTAAGATTTATAACGATCTGCTATAAACAATTTGCTATGAAACATACATAGATACATTTTATTGCAGAAGAATTAGAGAAACATAGCTGAAAACAGGAAAATAATGGTTGAACAAATTCCACGTAAATATTTATTTTTTAACGCAATATTTTAATTTCAAATAGTTAGTAGAGTACAAAAAAATTAAAAATATATATATATATACAAAAATACTATTAGAGTTTCCTAGGATTGCACTAGCGTTTACTACTTTTGTATATAAGATAATATTCGGTTTCACCGATCCGTCATGTTTATTACATTAGAATTGGTATTGAAAATCTGAACTGATTTGAATTTATAAAAACAAAAAAAAAAAAAACAGAAAAAACAAAACAATTCAAGCGATAAAATTGTAATTTACACCTTGCGTTGTAATTATAATTGGTCAGGGGTTCTAACCTCATTAAAAAAAAATTATTATGTGCCAAGTTAGAAACTAAGTTTGAAGTTGAGACAAATTTATATGGCAAAATTCTTATATTTCTCTAAAGCGTTAATTAGCATGAATGAATCCTATTCAAAATATCTTACCCATATATTTCAATGAAATATATATATTTTATTTTCAGAATTATATAATATAGATCGATGATACGTAAGTCTAGCAGGGCCAAGCATTTTGCTAGCAAAATCTGCAACGGTTGCTGTCATGATAAATACTTATATAATGTTAATTTGTTCATATATATATATTCCAAAGGTTTGTGTGATGGAACAGGGCTTATGGAAAATTGTAGTTGCTACACAAAATAAATAAATAAATAAATCAACGTGAATATTAATCCAAAACATACATATATAAATATTGAATATATATTTTCAAAAAGTACAAGGGCCGAGAGACATCATGTGATATCTAACATCAATGTTGATCACTTTCCCGACGTACTGTACATTCATGTGGCTTAAATACATGTTACTTGCATGGTTCATTGAATCCTGCTTTTTTTTTTTAAATTCTTTTACACCTCTATTTTATATTTATAAAATTAGATAATTATAAAGTAGAAAGAATTAATAGATTTCTAAATAAAAATTAATCATATGTAAAACAATCGTATGAACGAATTACAAATTCAACGAAATCTATAACATTTACAATCATATATTCGAAAATCTGTAATCGCCCCTTTCCTTTATATTTTCTCTCTTCAATTATATAATTCTCTAAATAAAAATAATTATATAATAATGACGTACACAATTAAATCATTCTGTATTTTATATTTAATTTCTGTTGTTGGGCCCCACTTAGAAATGGGCCTAATTGATATTGAATTCTGAAACCAAAACGTTACGGACTCTCCTCATCAATGGCCCACTTGATACATAATCAAAACCCAAAACCTTGAAGTACTTTGCATTAATATATTATTAATGTATTTCAAAAGAGATTAATTGTATTTTAGACCCTTAAAACACAATAAATTATTTACATTCAACCTTTGACTGGTTTTTTGAAAAGTCAACGTCGATACTTTTGTTGTTTCAAACTAATTTCGAGAATATCAGAAGAAAGAAAAAATTCCAACCAAATTAAATTACTTGAAAATTATATTTCTTCGTAAAAAAAACATTTTCGCAAAAAAATCTTACCAAATTATTCGATTAGTAGTTGTTTTGAGAAAATGTCGTTTTTGTTGTTGTAAAACAATCTATCTAATCTAAGGGCTAGTTTAATACCGCTGAATGACCGCTGAGTGACACCAATTTCTCATTCGGTCAGTGGTTCTTTCATTCAGAGTGTTTGTTTTAGACATCTGAACCAAATCATTAGGTGCTGACCGATTCAGGTCAAAATATACGACTTATTCATCCAGAGGTTGTGCTGAATGGTTATTAGACTAATTTATCCCCACATATTTAGCTCTCCTGCGGCACGAGTCCTGCCATTTATTTTTTTTTTCCTTTTAAATATATTATATTTAATTGTATAAATTGGTTCAATTCTCAATGTAATTTAGCACTTTATGTTTGATGGTTATAGTGAAAGGTTTTAGAATTAAATTTACTCTTACGTACTTATTTTCACTAAATTAATAATATAATAGTTACTAGGTTTATTGTTACAATTATGATTTTATGTTCAATGATTTGAAGGTTAATATCGTAAAATTATACTATTCAGACATAATAAAACTTCCAGTTACCAAACAAACTTAAACGTTCATCATTCAGTATTCAGATACGGTCTTAGTCATTCAGTTCGTGTATTCAGCATTCAATATTCAGTGCTTAATTTTATCAAACAAGCCCTAACTCTTTCGGTTTGATGATTGTGGAAGGAATAGTAATACATGAAATATAAATAACGAGAATAGAATCACAAAGAAAGTAATAGAAAGAGATACGATTTACAAATAGTTAATTAATGTGGTTGTCGAATGGGGATTGAGTTTTTCTCATTTAAACCAAAAACACACACACACTCAATTGAAGAAAAAGAAACAATACAAATAAGATGATTAATTGATTATGGATCAACAAGATGTTAAAATTCTTGATATTTGTCAACCAAATGTAAGTCACCTACACAACTTCACATTGTTACACAATTATGTAATACTCCAAAAAAGTTATATAAATTAGACACATTCAACAAACTCACCACTTGGATCTCCTTGTACTTTGTCCTTCTCTAACATCTCCCATTCTTGATTTAGCTGCTGCAACTTCACATTTTCTTTCATTACAATCATCTCTCGAAGCCCACGATAATCGAGAATTTAATAACCTAGTGCTCGACAAAACTTGGTCCTGATCAATACCACCCTTCACTGGTGGTTTATATCTCTGTCTCTCCTCATGACAACTCCTCCTTTGAACTCCCTTCTCGATTTCGTACAGTCTCTCCCTCTCTAAACCATCTCCAGAAACAGAGTTTCTACCTTTGATTTCGTCTCTGTCTCTCTTCGATCCGAGGAAAATTTCCAACTGTCTCCTCATCTTGCTAATGGCAGAATTTTTCTCCTCGGACATCTTCGTCCGGCCTCTCTCCTCGCGCCACCTGTAGCCAAATTCAACCACCCCACTTTCCTTTTCCGCCCCCTCGCGAACTTCTTTCGACTCACTCGTTAATTCATCGCACACCTCCTCTGTTTTTTCTCTAGCCCTCTTCTCGTTTTCCAGTTCTTTAACTACCTTCGTAAAAGACGACTTCATTTCGGCTATTTCTATACCGAGTTTCTTGTTCAAACGCTCGAGCCTACGTCTCAATTTTTTCTCAGCCTCTAGTTCACATGCAACGGACTCAATCGCTGCCTCGACGGATCGATTTTCTTTATCTTTCCATGATTTTTTTGCTTCTTCAAAATGTCTTAGGAGATTGAAAATCTCGCTTTTGTCCGATTGCTTTTCTTGGATAAGATGATTAACCTGCAAGCGGGCTCGCTCGAGCTCGGTGTGCAGGGCTGAGATAACGGACGTAGTAGAAGAAGGCTGATCTGCATGCGCGCACATGCGGTTGATTATTTTCAGCAATTCTTTAGAAGTTGTTAAAGAATTGCTTATGTCTTTCAAACGGTTCCTGTTGCCACTAACCGATCCACTTGAAGTTTGAGGGCGTGACCGAGTCTCGATCTGTGATTCATCGTTTATGTGAAAACTCATGACGTATATATAATTGAAAGAAGCTAACTCAAGCAATCGGTATGATTTTTTTTTTATTTACCTCCATGAAACTGGCATTGCTAATACAATCAAAATCGGCAACGTTTTGCTCTGTCGATCGATGCCTCTGCGAAATTGATGGCGTCCTCTGGCGACTAGCTCTCCCGAATCTATCCATCTTCTGTAAAATGGGAAAGAAAAATTAAGCTCAAATAATTCAACATATGCAATGCTAATTGAAGCAATGGTTCACCCTAGAAAAAAAACGTAAGTTCACCTCCGAAAAAGCGGGACTGTGTAATGGATCGGACAAGTGCAAACCCCAATTACAAGACTGCATTTTCTCACTCTTAAAAACCATTTTGCTTCCATTCTTATCCTTTATCTGCTGCTGCTGTGAGTAATTCTTGAAATTGAGCTCACTCATTTTCGGCGAAGGCATTATCATCTCATTCATTTCCCACAGAGTGGCCGCCAGCCTACGGGCCGATACGGGCTGGGAGCACTTGGGGGATGCATCAACGGTTCTCAATACCGGAACCGGGTTGCCGGATCTGGATCCTCCAAGCCCGGCCCGAGTCCTGCCCACCAGAATGGCCCGCTTATTCAACCTGTAATTGCGGATTCTTGAAGATGCTGATGCTGCTGATGAGGAGGACGAGCACCCCCTTTTCCGCCTTTCCCTCGGCATTGTTGCAACTCTTTCAACTTATTAATTTCTGCTTCTTCCCCAACAATACCCCACGCTTTAATAGGCTAGATTTCACTGATCTGTACGCATTAAAAATGATTAGATTTTGAGGAAATGCATATCTAGATACATATATATACCCATTGAAGTGCGCATAACTAATAATGAATCCAATAAGGAAAAGTGAATTTCAAGAAGTGGGGTTTCAAGATCTTACATAATTTCGAAACAAAAATCACCCCTTTACTTATGTGCAATGAAGAACACACAGAGATCGGTACAGTATGATGATCGCCATGGAAATATTCAAAAAGTTTAAAAATGGGTTCTTTTCAGAAATGGAAAGGAGAGAGAATTTTGGCATGTGATTAGATTGAAAGCTCCATTGATTTATCTCTATGTACACATTATAAAGTTGTAACGGATACAGAGGTGTGTATATATATGTAAAGAGAGAGAAGAGAGATATGTAGAGAGAGAGAGAGAGAGAGGCGGCACGAAGAAGCAACGTTAAAGGGCTGGCTGCTGCATTAGAGAGAGCATGTGAGCAAAAAACGTGGCAGATAATGAGTGGCGACTACCAGAATGTCTTTTACGTATTTTACTTTGTTTTATTTGTCTATAATCTCTTCTGTCTCATAATTTTTTATTAATTCATTCATCTAATTTTAGCTGTTATATATAATTTAATTAATATATATTAGTAATATATATATATATATATATATATATATATATATATATGTATGTATTGTTTGTTTGTTTATGTTTAGTCAGATGATCACTGACTGGACGAAAGCAACTTGCAACCCAGATTCCAACAGTGGAGCGAACATGCCTAAAAAATATTATTAATTTGATTCGATTTCTATAAAAAAAATGATATTTTTTAATGTATTATTAACCATCAAGATTAAATTAGGGTTTGAAGTTTGAACATGGTAGTGCGCACTGTCATTCCGCTTGGGCTCGTATTATTATTTCTTGATTATTGAATTGAATGCTGACGTGTCTTTTAATATTCGGGCAGCACCTATTAATTGGCGGTTCATTGCTGTAGTCTAACTTATTTACCTGCAAATTGTCTCCAGTAATTTTGCATTTACTAATTCTACCACCAACTTTCATCTAAATCTTCACTTGCAGTCAACATTTCAATTAATACAAAGCTTAAATAGCTGCAGCCCTAATAAATTTTGTGCCTGTAAAACTGCACTAGTTCAAGAAACCAATTAAAGTAACAAAATTTCTCTCTCTCTCTCTCAAAAAAAAAAAAAAAAAAAAATTGCTAATGTGTTGTAATTCGACAATGACAAGTCGGAAGAGATTTAGTACCTCGTTGAAGCAGCAGCAGCAGCAGCAACATTTAAATTTTCACAGTAAACTTACTTATTGTGGAGAAAAAAAATCAAATCAGCCTGTATTTTGATGCGAATGAATCTCTTGAAGAAGCCTCGATCGAGACCGATTAATCGCAGCGAAAGAGAGGAACAAATGCTCCTCAAGATTCAACAGCCGTTGCACAAAACTAGTACGGTTTCTCCTAAGCTGCTTCAAAATCTCCTGAATAAGATACCCATCCATATCCCTCTCCAATCCGACGTGAATAATAAGCTTATCATTTTCAACATCACTATACAAATGGGCTATAAGCCGATCAACCGTATCGAGATCTTTATGAAGCACATAAGCATTCATTGCTGCAGAATCAAGTTGCGCTAAATGTGCCGTTTCTTTACCTTTAGTCATATCGGAGGGCAAAATTGCCAAACATATTATAGGGCTTCCCACAAGTGCAGCTACAGAATGTGTAGCTATAGCCACAGCTGATAACGCCACACCAAGAGCTCCTGCGATCAAGCACAAAGCGGGCCCAGAAGAAAAGTAGCGTTTACCGAGCCGGACCCTTGACTTTGACTTTGACTTTGACTTTTTCAGATGATGGTCGAGCTGTTGTTTGAGGTGGGAGAAGTGCTGACGCATGTCGTCGAAGTTCTTTGTGTCGGGAGAGAGAAAGGGGTTTTCGAGTGAGTCGAATTGGAGGAAGGCGTTGTGTGCCAATTTGCATAGGGAATCGGAGAGGGAATATGAGTCTGAGTCGAAGTCGAGGGGGAGGTCTTCTAGAAGGTTGTGGATTGGGGTGTACAGGTGGCGGGCTCGTCTGATGCTCTGGTAGAGGAGAAAGCACAAACGGCAAGTGTTCTCACTGTGCTCGAAATAGGTGGCGACGAGTTGAGTTAGTGGGTTGGGCTTGATAAGTGAGAGTGTCTCTTGGACACATTCTCGGCTAGGTTGAAGAACATGGTCCAAGAGCTGAGGTTCATCAATGGAGTCTACTTGCTCTATTTCCGCATTCTGGTCAGCATAATAAGTGCCGTCTTGGTCAAAGGTTCTCCTAATCTCGCCATAAGAAGTTGTTTGAACTACAAGAGTGTATTCTTCGGTGAGGTTAATGGTGGGAGTGGGAGACGGTTGAGCGTTTGACCTTGGTGTTTCCTCAACAGAATAAGCTGTAATAAGATATACACATTATTCAAATGATTATATCTTTTAAGTCATTATTTTTTTAATTTGGAAATTAGAAGTTTACCTTGTGAAGCAGGGGAAGAAAGATAATTGTTTGTAGATGATGGTGGCAGTGACTTCAAACATGAGAGCATTGGGTCGTTTCCTTTGACCGGCACAGCCAAAACTCATTTCTTTATTAAAACAAGAGCGTTCAAGAATCAAATAAGGCGTTTTATTCTGCCAAATGCTGCTGATACAAACAAGAAAACGTATTAATCAACTAAATAAAGCCTTTTCATGCCTCGAAAAAGATACTAGAATTAAAAACAATTTAATCGCAATCAAGTACCTTCAGAAATGTATTTCCCGAAAATACATTATTCACCTTGCAAAATCTAGTTGGCACTAAGAAGATTCGAAGATAGGGTTAATCTTTCAATGTAGGAATGCTACTGATGCAATCAGCTAGAGTGACATAAGAATTGAAGCTAAGACAAAACTACAGTCAATTTCTAAGGTAATTGCAATCTACTAAGGCGTGAAGCAGAACGAAGAACATTCTGCCTCATCTCTTCAAACTGAGCCAAAAGAAAGCAAATTGAAGCATGGCTGAATAATCACTCATCTCTAAATGAAGCATAGCACTCAGATAAACAATTTGAAACGTTCCTAAACAATTAAAGCATCACCAGCGTGAAGAAGAATTACATAACGAAAACCCCAGAAAAAAGGAAATACAGAGCGAGCGAAATTGTACATCTGGATCTCAAACGCGAACTTGTTAAAATAAATAATTCAGCTAAATTATCTTATTAAAAAAATAAAAATTCGAATCCCTAACACGACTCGTGATCGATTTAAGGCCGTAGATTGTGAATTAAAGTTGATAAGTTCTGTATACATATATAGGCTACGATGAATCACAGGGAAAATTACCGGAAAAAAAGTGGGTAGGATTAATTAATCTTCGAGGAGTTTTCTGAGACGTGATTTGACGAATTGATTACGGGCCTGGGTTCGGGCCTGTTGAGGGGCGATATTGGAGAAGGAGAGGTGGGCTCCAACGGCGATGCAGGTAGCTCCGGTGAGTAAGCCGCAGACGGTGAGGGCTAGTTGCTTCGGTGTAGGTGAGTACGGCCACATTACCATCTCTGTCTTTCCCACTGTTTTACTGATAGTCAACTGCGTGTGTGATTTTTATGAAAATTACTATTTTACCATTAGTGGAAAAGTCATGGGGCCATTTTGATATTAACAAACAATAGAGGTACCAAATGTCAAACTTACATCTCGATTTACAAACCCTAGCCAACACTCTCCTTTCCCATTTGCATCTACTCCCCACTGCGTAACCGCAACAAAAATCGCCGGATACTCCACACATTTGATGGAATCTCACTCAAGCTGCAGGAGGAAGGAGCGCGAGCGGCGTATGGATTTCGTGCCCGACGAGTCCGCCATTAGAGTCGACCGCATCGAGGTTGATCAGTAGACGGTTGATTTTCTGGAATCGCTTGGCTTGAAGGACCTGCCAGATGTCGTCCTCAGAGAAGACCAGGCACCCATAGGTGTTGCTCCGCCTAACTTCAGCAGTGGAAGCGCCGGGAGATTCGGAGAGGCATGAGGTTAATTTTTTTCTTCTTCCTGTTATATATTGTTTTAGATGTTTTTTTTATATATAAATGAGTTTTATTGTTAGTCTGTTGAAAATGTTCTATGTTGCTTTCAGATAATGAATTTTGGCTTGAAGTGAATTGTTGAGATACCTACATATTTTTTTTTCTGGTCGGATTTATTTCATAAGTATGAGATTATGCTAGTTATGATTCAAGCATTTTGATTGTTTGTCGGAATTAGGGTTTTGTTTTTCCTTGTTTCTTTGAGGTGTGTAGGGTGTACGTTTGTATTGGAAATCCATCACCGTGACATAGTACATTGAGGATTCTGCTGATGCTATCGTGACATGAATTATTTCTTTCTATCCCTTATATACCTCTGATAAGATTCCACCTCTTCAAGTATATTCAAGGAAGAAACCGATAGCACGTGATAAGGAGCAGATGACAGAAACTGAATTGCAGTTATTGGGTTTAAATTATCCAGATAAGATCCTGGATATTCTCAAATAATCTTATCCCCTATTTTTAGGAACTTAGTTATGTCTAGCAGTTATCCTATGTATTATAAATAATTAGGGAATTGTAATTTTAGGATCATCGATTGAAATTGTAATCTGAATGTACTATTGGAGATTTGTCTTCTCGAACTTGACAAAGGTTAATAGTTGTATTTGTGTTTAAGATTCTTGCACTTTTACGACTATTAAACATATTTCTTTCTCTCATTTTTATATGACATTTCTGCTCCTATCATTTTGGTATCAGAACCAGGTTGATCCAAAATGGTTTCTACACGATCTTCCGCCCTTCAACCAGAAACACACAATTCACAACCCAATTCTCCTCAAAATATACCAAACACTACGACGCAAATCCCATCAACGGTTGACCCCATAACAATGCAACTGGCTTCCATTGCCTCTCGTCTTGATATGATGGACACACTTGTGGCAGATGTTGCAGCACTTAAAGCTACTGCCAATGGGGCGACGCTTCCTGATTTTATCCCACCAGCAACCAGCAAAGGCAAAACAAAGGAGTTCCACTCCAGATCTCGCGAACAAGGACGATCTGTTCAATCAGAAGCCGAAGAAGAAGATGCTGATAATTCATGGTGGCGACGGAACCCAACTCATCGTCCACACACGAAAATGGAATTTCCCCGATTTGATGGTGGTGATCCACGTGGTTGGATCCTGAAGGCGGAAAAGTATTTTCGCTACTACCAAACTCCTGAAGAAATTAAAGTTGATGTTGCGGCTATGTATCTTGAAGGAGATGCCCTTGATTTGTTTTTGTGGCTTAACAATGAAAGAACATTAGTTTATTGGGAAGAACTGGTGAAAGCTTTACAAGAAAATTATGGTCCGGCGGAATTTCAGAACCCTGATGAACATTTATGTAGCATCCACCAAACAGGAACTATTCAGGAGTATCGGCAAGAATTTGCAAAACGCTCGGCGAGGGTTTCAAATTGGCCAGATCATTGTCTGTTGGGTGTCTTTCTAAACGGATTGAGGGAGGATCTTAAAGCTGACGTTCGGATACACAAATCTCGTACGGTATATAAAGCCATGAGTTTGGCTTTGGAGTTTGAATCTAAAATATGTTCAAATAGGACGAACAGGGTATCTAACTATTCCAGTGCTCCTCGACCTAATAACATTCCATTCTCTCCACGAGTTCCTTTCCCACGCGACGGCCAACCCGCAGGGAATAATCTCCAAGGAAATCCACGGCCAATGCCTACCCCAAATTCAACTCGTACTTGGGAGAGCGAGCGGCAGAATCGAATTGCCAAGGGCTTGTGTTTTCGCTGTAATGAGAAATTTGGTCCAGGCCATCGATGCAAAACAGGTACTCTTTCACTCTTAGAAATTGCAGACGAGGGAGAAGATGCGGGTAGAGACGAACATGCCTTACCGGAAGATGAACCTGAGGGTACAACACAAGCCAACTTTGCTGAGATTAGCTTTCACGCAATACTGGGAAAATCAAATCGGACTACAATGAAGCTTCAAGGCACTCTCGGCAATAAAGAAGTCCTTATACTCATCGACAGTGGTTCAACACATAATTTTGTGGCTGAAAACATTATCGACGACGTCAAACTTCCAACCCAATTTGTTCCATCTTTCGGAGTACAAATCGGCAATGGAGAAGTGATTCGTTGCAACCGAATTTGCCGAGATGTGGTGGTGCAATTACCAGGACTGAAAATAACACAAGATTATTTTCCTTTCTCAATTAAAGGAGCTGACATGGTGTTGGGAATACAATGGCTTGCATCATTGAATACTGTACAAGCTAATTGGCAGGAGATGTTTCTCATCTTTGAATTGAACGGACGAAAATACAAGTTGCAAGGAGTACCTCAACAAGCACAATCAGCGGCAACATTTCAATATCTGGCAAATGAGGAGGTTAGTACGAGTATTACACACACACAACCCTGGAATTCACACTTTACTTCATGAATTTGAGTCTATTTTTCATGAACCAAACACTCTTCCACCTTTTCGATCACACAACCACTCTATATGTCTTACTCCTAATTCGAAAATCCCCAATATCCGACCTTACCGATACCCATATTTTCAAAAGTGCAAGAATCTTAAACACAAATACAACTATTAACCTTTGTCAAGTTCGAGAAGACAAATCTCCAATAGTACATTCAGATTACAATTTCAATCGATGATCCTAAAATTACAATTTCCTAACAGTTATTTATAATACATAGGATAACTGCTAGACATAACTAAGTTCCTAAAAATAGGGGATAAGATTATTTGAGAATATCCAGGATCTTATCTGGATAATTTAAACCCAATAACTGCAATTCAGTTTCTGTCATCTGCTCCTTATCACGTGCTATCGGTTTCTTCCTTGATTATACTTGAAGAGGTGGAATCTTATCAGTACTTTGGGCAGACTCGGCAGACTCAAATTTCATTCTTGGGTCATGTGGTGTCAGCCGAAGGTGTGGCGGTGGATCAAGATAAGATTCAAACTGTCCAGGAATGGCCGGTGCCTTCAAACGTAAAGGAGTTACGCGGATTTTTGGGGTTAACAGGATATTACCGTCGATTTGTAAAAAACTATGGTCTTCTTGCCAGACCATTAACTGATCTTACAAAGAAAAATGCATTCCGATGGTGTCCAACAGCTGATGATGCTTTCCAGCAACTCAAAGGTGCTCTTACATCAGTCCCTATTTTGCGCCTTCCTGATTTTGCTCTATCATTTACAGTGGAATGTGATGCGTTGGAAGGAATTGGAGCCATACTTCTTCAAGAGGATCATCCCGTGGCTTATTTTAGTAAGGGATTTTCATTCTCCAACCGTTTGAAATCCACGTATGACCGGGAATTGCTCGCTCTTGTGCTGTCTTTGATGAAATGGAAACATTATCTCTTAGGACGGCACTTCTTTGTCCAGACAGATCATTTCAGCCTTAGATTTTTACTTGAGCAGCGAGTTACAACAAATGAACAGCAGCGGTTACTTATGAAGCTGCCACCGTTTAACTTCTCAATTATTTATAAGGCTGGAAAAGAGAACAAGGGTGGAAAAGAGAACAAGGGGGCAGATGCACTTTCTCGTCGTCCACAACATGCAGAGTTGCTTACCTTGGCAATTCCTATTTCCTTCGATTTTGCGGACTTGCAGCAGGCACTCCGGATAGACCCTTTCACCAGTAAGATTATGGAGTCACTTTCTCAGGATTCCACTTCTCATCCTCATTTCCAGGTCGTCGATCAGAAATTATATTACAAAAGCCGCCTGGTGATTCCTGATAATGTGCATTTGCGGCAAAAACTTTTGTCCGAGTCTCATGACACTTTAGCTGCTGGTCATGGCGGATACTTAAAAACTCTCAGTCGGCTCTCTTCTAATTTCTTTTGGGCAGGTATGAAACACGATGTTAAGCATTATGTTCAAAATTGTTTAACTTGTCAGCAAAATAAGTATCAGACTTTGGCTCCAGCCGGTCTTCTTCAACCCCTTCCTGTACCGAATAAAATTTGGGAAGGTATCTCTTTAGATTTCATTGTTGGTCTTCCCAGATCAAAAAAGTTTGATACCGTTCTGGTGGTCGTTGATCGGCTTAGTAAGTATGCTCATTTTATCCCACTTTCTCACCCATTTACGGCGAAAGTAGTGGCTGAAAATTTTTGCAGGGAGATTATTAGACTTCATGGCATTCCTAGGTCAATCCTTTCGGACCGAGATGTCATATTTCTTAGTAATTTCTGGCAAGAACTGTTCAAGTTGAGCAAAACTCGCTTACAGATGGGGACAGCATACCATCCACAGTCCGATGGTCAGACGGAGGTGGTTAACCGATGTCTCGAAACATACTTGCGTTGCTTTGCACATGAACAACCTACTCAATGGAGTGTTTTTCTTCCCTGGGCAGAATATTCTTACAATACCGGGTTTCATACTTCCACTGGAACCACACCGTTTAACATTATCTATGGTCGCGATCCGCCACCACTCCATCCCTTTGTTCCGGGCGAAACGAGTTTGGTTGAGTTAGAAGAGCAGCTGCTTCTTCGCGATGACATGCTCAAATTACTGAAATCAAATCTCTTGAAGGCTCAGTCACGAATGAAAGCACAGGCGGATTCCAAGCGACGAGAGTTAAGTTTCAATATCGGGGATTCTGTCTTTTTGCGCATTCAACCGTATCGTCAGCTTTCCCTGGCTAAACGCCGATATGAAAAACTTTCTCCTCGATTTTTTGGTCCTTACAAGATTATTCGGCGAGTCGGCTCAGTAGCATATGAATTGGAACTTCCTACTTCTTCCAAGATTCATCCGATCTTCCATGTTTCGCTACTTCGCCCAGCCTTCGCACAAACACCTGCTTGTCCAGCCCCTCTTCCCATCAGCACTAATTGGGAGCTCATTCTATTCCCGGCAGCAATACTGTCTCACCGTTGGATTAAAGAAGGCGGTGTTTCCATCTTATTATTGTTGGTGCAATGGAAAGATCGACCTATAGAAGAAGCTAGCTGGGAATACTATGATCTTATTGCCGGACAGTTTCCATCATTTCGCCTTGAGGACAAGTCGAGTTTTCAGGGGGAAAGTACTGATAAGATTCCACCTCTTCAAGTATATTCAAGGAAGAAACCGATAGCACGTGATAAGGAGCAGATGACAGAAACTGAATTGCAGTTATTGGGTTTAAATTATCCAGATAAGATCCTGGATATTCTCAAATAATCTTATCCCCTATTTTTAGGAACTTAGTTATGTCTAGCAGTTATCCTATGTATTATAAATAATTAGGGAATTGTAATTTTAGGATCATCGATTGAAATTGTAATCTGAATGTACTATTGGAGATTTGTCTTCTCGAACTTGACAAAGGTTAATAGTTGTATTTGTGTTTAAGATTCTTGCACTTTTACGACTATTAAACATATTTCTTTCTCTCATTTTTATATGACATTTCTGCTCCTATCAACCTCCCTATTGATGTTATTGAAATTGCTATCAGACGAGCAATCTCCTCTGTGACTGCCCTGGCTTAATTCTCCTCTTATCATGGAAGACACCTGCTAATTGCTTAAGCTTTTAGATGAAGGGGTCGTTCAACACTTATAAAACTGAGAAACCACCTCATTTTGATGTAAAAATATTCATGATTACTATTCTTAGTATCCACGTTTCAAATTTTACTGGCTGGTCCTCAAGTCTCACACCAGAAATTTATTTTACCAATCAACCACTTAAATTGTTTTTATATGGTTGCTTTTCTTAGGCATTGAAGTTGGAAATTTATGCTACCACGAAGTTGCCTTGGTGTAGATGTTTGAGGAGAAAAAGAGCATTCTAGAACCAGCAGCTGAAGCTCACTGCAAGTATTATAGGCTCAAGGGTGCAAAAGTAGTAGCATTGACTAGTGGAGCGAACATGAATTTTGATAGATTGAGATTGGTAACTGAACTTGCAGATGCTGGTAGATGGTGGAAAGCTGTCCTTCCAACTTACATGTTAAAGGAGGCTTGAAGTTTTAAACAATTCTGCGAGCTTGTGAGTTTTCTAATTTATCAATTTTCTCTGTCCGGGTCTTCCAACGGCCAACCTACTAGTTGTGTATGTGACTCTCTTATGGTTTGGCATCAATAGCTCAAAGGAATTTTTGAGAGTGGCATCAAATATTGTAATTTTCAAAAGCTTTTCTGTAATTCAAATCGAAATTATATGAATAAATATTGAATACCATGTCATGAAAAAAAAGTTCGTTTGAACTCAACTCGATTGCAATCAAAATAACCCCAAACGCAACTTCAAAAAAACTAAATAAAAATTCAAACAAGTTTCAACAATCATGCATTTTGCTCGGTTAATCTGCACCATTAAAAGGCAAGACAAAAGTTGATATTTGTACACCTCTGAAATTATTACGAACGTAATATGTATAAAACACACAAAAACACAAATCTCGAGGAAAAACGCGTGGACAGGTTTATTTACTCACTGGAATTCGCAAGGCCGACCAAATTAAGCATATTCCGATCCTCCTTAAACCTGTCCAGCACAGTACCTTTATTAGCATGTGTTCTGTCCTGATCAGCTCTTGCTGAGGCAACTCCCCAACATTCTATAACTTCTGGATATATTTGGCTGCTCTTCGATAAGCATGGGCTGGCAAACGTTGTGCACGTAAAGCTATGCCCCTGGTCAAAGTTTGCTGAAACGAACAACCCAAAATGACTAACTCGCCCTCCGAAACCAATGCCGTTAGGAATGCTCTCCGAAGTAAAATTTACAGCACACTGCAGCAAATTCAAGCATTTTCAGAGTGCTCACAATATTATCGAAATAGTCGTGTTTTTTTACTGCATAGAGAAATTTCTAACTACTTACCCATTGTAAATTATGGTTTGCTCCAGTAGGCCGAAAAATCGATGCTTCTGGGTATAGCTGAAAAAGAAAAGATCTCATATCCCCGTAAAAATCAGGATGTTTTTCCCATGGCTGAGAAGCATAGCCTCCATATATGTCACCTTCTCTATCTTTAATGATCAATACAGTCGGTCCGTCATTTCTGCAGTTTTATTTAACAGTTACCCATTAGAAAACGACTTTTTTTCTTTAAACGTAAAAGGAGAGAGAGAGAGAGAGAGAGAGACTAAGCATACTTTTTAAGAAATATTAGCTAATGTACGCCTCCTACGTATACGATGTCATATATACATGTCTGAGTGTTAAGAGGAGTCGTAAAATAAGAGCATGAGAAAACAAGAAAGGTACTCACAGCATATTGCCTAAAAATGTGTTGAAACTCAATCCATGGATTGAACTATGATATAAAAGCTTCCACTCGTCCAGTTCAGTTGGGGATAGTGCTCCACCGATGTGCCAAGCATATTCCTTCCTCAGCAAAATTTGACTATCATCAATATTGTCAGGATACACTAGCTTAGGTACTTGTGAACCTACAAACGGATACTACGTAAGAGACTTGGGTATCGAAAAGCGGAGGTTTTATATATAAGAAAATGAAAAGAAAAAAAAAATTATAAGAAAAGAGCCAATAATAGTATTTGTTAAATCTCGTGCTTCTTACTTGTACACTTCTTAAATATCTCTCTCCAGGAATAACGAAAAATATTCTATTGGACAAACTATAAACAATTTTACTATTGTAATCAAGAAGAATAAGATCATTATGCTGGTAAATATTTACCAACTACCAACTTCCTAAACAAGTTTACCTAACAGCATGCTCATAAAAGTAAGAGTGGTCTACATTCAGTTAGAAATGACTAGTGAGAATGCAAGAGAGAGAGAAAGAGAGAAAGAAAGAAACCTGAATCAGATGGCATCAATAAACTACCGAGATATTTCCTGACAGCTGGAAGAAGGGAGCACCATTTCTGGAAATCCTGAAAAGACATGCCATCACTAGTAGAATTTGCAGCATTAATGAAAACCTCAACGATCTCCTTGTATGATCCTGCCTTAGGCTCGGAACTTTGTGAACGAAATAGGTTATCGAACATGGATGTTAAGACGACTTCGAGATCAGACCTAACAGGGGGCGGACAATCAATAGACAATATTAAAACAAAAAGGGCGCCTGTCAATGAAAACTGAAAAGAACTCCAGATAAGAAATTTGTGCAATTTATTTACCTTCCAACAGTACCATCACCTGATACATTTAGTAGTTTGTATATGAACTCTTCCATGTCCTCATTTGTTCCCTTCTCATAAGTCGCCTAAAATACGAAGCAGGAATAAAATTGTAGCTATTTTAACATGCTTTGAAAACCCGTACTCTGAACATTTCAGGTGCTATAATAGAGTGGCCAATAAGAAGAGCACATATGTGAGTTGTGCGCACAGTATGTGCATAGACTCACAAGGCCCACTGCACTAAGAACACCACCAAAAGAAATTATTGGGAAAGAATTGCATCTACTAAAACTCGATTTGAATCTCGTCCTAAGTTCTCCATTGTTTACGTCAATTTAGAATTACAGTAAAGGTGAACCAAGCTAATACTGATGGAATATGCTAAGCTAATACTGATGGAATATTTTATCCAACAAATAGTTGATTCTAGAAAGTAGCATGGCGGATACATGTAGGAAAAAACGAGATAATACTCGCTTGTTCTCACTACTTCATATATTCTAATATACAAGAAATCAATTCAATGGTCATTGTAGTTGTACTCCATTTTATTTCTTTAATCCCTTCAGAACATACTTGTTCAAGGCAACCTACGAACGGAGGACATAGGTAAAGCTTGAACGAGCGAAAAGCATCAAAGAATGGTCCAAAAAAACGCAGATCATGTAATTTCGATGCATAACGCAAAAAAGAAAATACTAATAATAAAAAAATTACGCAGGTCTTAAATTCACCTTAGCAATAACGAGGTCTTCAAAAGTGATCCTCTGATCCCTGCGTTTCTGCGAAACCAAATCGAAAACCCTATCTCCTAGAGGCCCGTCAATTCCGATATACTCCTACCATTTACAAATGCAAGCTCATACACATAAGAGAGGGCAATAGCGAAACAAAAAAAAAAAAAAAAAAAAAAAAAGCGAAATGAAACCTTGAAAACATCAGGAGATGTGTGATTCCCATTACTTTGGGACTTGGCCGCAAGCGATGCGAAAAGTGATCTTAAATCATCCAATTCCGTCTGGGTAAATGCCCTGCAATCATGAAAATTCGTTCAGTATATATCAATGGAGTAACACTGAAATGCTGAGTTCCGAGCAGAAATTGTGAAACCTAGTGGCGGAGGCCAGGCGGGGATCGGAGGAAGATGACCCGGAATTGCCCATCAAGCGCCTCTTCTAGTTTCTACGGTTCGTTTTCCTGTTACTTGTAACGAAATTTTCAGACTAATATTTCGTCGGGTAAATAAAATTGTTATTTAGATTAACATATTTTACCATTTAAATTTCTCATTTCTCAGCACCTTTTAATTTTTTTTATTTTTGTAACAATTAAATGCTTATTTACATTTTTTGTAATATATCTTTCTGTTATTTGCAATTTATTTTTGTTTTATTTTGAGAAGAAACAAAAAATAGAGAGAGTAATTGCTCCCCAAATAATATCTATCTTATATTCTGGAATGATGACCTTTAGAAGTTCGAAACGGTGGCAATGTAGCAAAATTTGATTTGGAATATGCCATCTCTAACAATTTAATGCGAATTAATTGATTTAAATTAAAAATAAGAAATTCATTAATTTTACATATTTACTTCATCCGAAAATAAGAAACAAGAACAACAATAAGAATTTGCTACAAAAACATACAGGATCATAAACACACTTACAATACATACACATACATTTTTGATTTTAGAGAGAGGGTGAACTCATTCAAGTAGCCGTCTGTGTTTACACCAAGCAATAGCAATAACATAGAGGAAAAGAGTACCGGCTGATCCTCCGCCGACGGTCCACAGGAACCTCGTCATACCATGCACTTGATCATTAAATATCTCTATTTTAATATTCATGCCGAAAATCCCAGCCACAACCACAAACGCACTCACCACGAGCGTCGCCGTAGTTAGCATGACCCCCATCTGCAGCAGATGATTCTGCTTGTCATCCAACATAATATTAATATAATCCTCCGTGTCGTCCACGTACTCCCTCAGCTTCAATCCAATTTAAATAATAAATAAATAAACATCAGTTGTATAATATACGGTTAAACCTCTATAAATTAATACATACAGTTTTCACCATCCAAAATCTATTAATTTTCCATGAGTCAGGACCGAGAAAACAAAATTATTTATTTAAACGAGGTTCTACTGTATTTATGAAATAAAATCGAAAATTGTAAAAAAAAAAAAGTGACGAGTTTACATACGGTGGATAATTTGTTCAGTGTACCGTCAATCTGAACGAAATAAGCTTCCAAGAGCATTTCGAGCTCCTCCACGTCAAGGTGCTTGCTTACGGCACTATGTATGCTAGTGTGGGTCCCATGGCTGCCTCTACTAAGTAGGTGGGGCCCGCCGAACAATTGCTCCTGGCGGTTTTCTATTGGCTGATTGTCCAGATCAGAAGCTACGGAATTCTCGTTGCCTTCCATTAGTATGTCAATTCGAGTCCTGAGTTTTTTCATTGCAAAAATAAAATGGATTATTATTTCGTCGAAACAATTATTTATTCCACAGCAACTTGTAGGGTTTCGTTCACGTGCCTGTCGTCAATGTTTGCGTCGTTAGATCCATCTTGTTCATCCATGGAAGTAATGGAGGAATTGGAGAGCTGTTCTTGCAGTTTCTCTGTTAGATACATCTCTGCCATGTCATCATCGTCGTCGAGTAAATGCTCCAGCTCATCTCTTACCTGAATATAGATCATGTCAGAATAACTAACGAAACAATTACATAATCTGATCGAACATTGCAAAACAGGATAACAGAAAATTTACTCATTCAACCTTTTGAACACGCCCGGTTATAGCAACAAGACGACTTTTAATCTGTCTCACGCGTTCCAAATTCAGAGTACTGATTTTCGAAGTCAACTTATCTAAAGCTGGATGAGCTTCTTGCTCCAACGTCCTTGCCTAGCTTGACACCAAAGGCAAAATAAAAGATAAATTATAGGACCAAAATAAACGATAAATTGATTTTTTCAAGAATACGATTCATATACCTCATTGTCCAAGCAACTGCACGCAGCCTCGAGGCAAGCCTCCAATGCAACAAATTCAAAGGGAAGCAGCTTTGGACCGTCTCGATTCTCGGGCGACTGTTCTTTCCCTTCGGAACTTGCAGTTTCTTCCTTGGTCGGGAAATTGTTTGGATAACTCGGTGAATTTATTGGGGTTAATTGAGGCCCTTCTAAATCGTACAAATTTGTCCAGTCTGAATTTTCGGCCTCTCCAGCTTCCTTAAACCACCATTCCCGCAGATCGTTAGATATTCGTCTCATAATCAATTGTAATAAACTACTTCAAGAATACATACTACACAAAATACTCCTTTTTCAGCAGACACAAGACTAGTCATATAAAACCAAGCTGAGAGATAATCACAGTTAATTGTCTATCCAATCTAATCCTAATTCCCAAACAATAAACAACTAATGAAGCAATAAATTATCAATTAAAACAGAAAAATAAAATAATATTACATCCAATAAAATCACAAGAGAAGAAGAGAAACCTGAGATTTAACAGCTTGATGATGGCGTAAGATTCTCCTTTGGAGTTCATCGACAAAGGGGATAACTGAAGGGTCTCTAGAGTTGAGAAGGAGAACCTCTTGGGCGGTGATGATGGATTTTATGTGCTCCAGATTGATAACAATGGCCCGCTCACGGCCAAGCACGGTTGAAGGATAAGATAGTAGCGGGTCGAGTATCCGCAGATCACGGGCCGGGAGCCCGGTTCGCCTCATGATGGAGTGTTTTCCGGCCTCCACTACCTGGGCCTGCCCAGTCGAATCCAGCAGCAACCACGGCCTAACTCCGGCCGCCTTCTTTCGAAGCCCGCCTCCGATGATGACGCCAGTTGAGGCCCGGAGGAGGGGCTCCCCGCTGCCGTCTTCCTCCGGCAGCGGTGGCGCCGCTGTCTGTTTCAGTGGCTGAGGAGGAGTGCCCCTCATTGTATACGGATTTTGGTTTGGGTGGTCGATGTCAGGCCTTTGAATTGATTATTCGATCTTCTTTTCGGAGAGGATTTTGCGAAGGATTAATATAATTTTATAAAGAATGGTCGGATTCTTTCTAGGGAAGTGGCTGAGAAATAATTTTCAATTTCTTCAGGTTATGACGTAGTCACTTTTGTCTGTAGATTTATTTACATTAATTAATTCATATTTACCAGATAATTACCTCATCTCCTCTATTTCAATTTTCTCTCTTTATCTTTTGTATTTTATTTATTTTAAGAGATATATGTATTTATTTATCTTTTCAGAACATGTGATGATTTTGGAATGTCATTTTCATTCCTCGTACACTTCCTCAGTCAAAACTGGTAAGTATGTTTTTAATTAAAAATAATAATTTTAAAACTTAAATAAGAGAAATAATAATGAAATTTCTTTTCCGGAGTGCGCATCTTCATCGGTTCTTATGATTTTCAAGTTGAATTATGTCAACTGCTTAAGTAGTCATATAAAGAACATTTTCTTTCACCTTTTTTCCAATTATTTGTCATTTTAAATAGTCATAAATATTTCAATGTTTCATCAGAATTTAGAAGCAATTGACCAAAATGACCTCAACTTTTATTTGCCAAAAGAAATTGGAGGCCGAAGAAGGTTTGAACTTGATGAATGTTTTTAACAAAAATAATACAAACACAATGAATTGACCTGACCCTCTGCTTTCTTACCATACAAATTTTGTTTTTCAAAAACCCAAGTAAAAAGTTAACAAAACAAAAGGATTTTATTTTCAAACAATAAGAAATTTGGTTTCGGATATACCATCAAGATGACAAAACAGAGGATTCAGTTCAATGGAACACCTACACACAGATGCAACAACAATGCAACAAGACTAATCCCACATTTTACCCCTTGCCTGCAAATCTTTGTTATTACATTGACATTATTCACTACTCGATTAATTCAACTTTTATCAAAAAAACCTTAACAATAATAGAGAAGATACGAACAAAAGGACCATGCGAAAGCACAGATAATGGTTTTGTAGATGAAAATGGTCAGTGTCTAAGGAAGAAAGTTTGGACACAAACTTTTAACTATTATAAGCTTAATAGATTAATCCATATTTATACTTCCTTGCGATCTTTGAAACTAAGATCACTGTGGAATGTGTAAATATTCCATGTTCAAGATTGCAGTACCATAACTTTTCATGCCCTTCCATTATTCAACTGCGCACGCTTAAAATTAACCTCAACAACTAGGCATATAGATAAAATAGATTTCTTAGGCATACCACTAGTCCAGTCAAGCACTAATGCCACACATCAGAAACTCGTCATGCACGAGACATAAATCTTCAGACAACCCTATCCGATATGGTCTACTCAACCATCTTCTACAAACATTAGTGGAAACAAAATATCGTAATATCACTTTGTGTCTTTACTATTGAAAGAGGTGAAGACTCGGTTTGTTGTGCCAATAACACTCAAGTAGAGATAATTCATAAACAATACGAAACTTCACCATAAACTCTACAGTGTGTGACATCAAAGTTATCAAATACGACACATTCAAAAGAAAATAGCAAATGGGACCAAGCTTCGCCGTTCAACTTCACTACCGAGCAGTTTAGTACGCCCCTACCCTTTCAAACAATCAATTTAATGCCTAATATCATGTTCTCCGAACACAAATAAAACAAGATACTTATTGCATCATACAGAACGACAAAGCACCAATTCATCTGTCATCAACACCAACTTTCAATGAAAAAATCCAAGCAGCGTCATATCAGGCATTTACTAACGAACAATCAATCGTATGGTACTATCTTTTCTAGAATTACAAAATTCAAAAACCACATTGGAACCCTAGAAAACCGACTCATTAATTATTTAAAAACACAACCAGATCCCCTAAACCATCTAATTACTCATCAAATTATTTAAGAGTCTACAAAACTCGATCTTCTATTTTCCTAAGAACTTAAGGTTGTTGTTAGCTACAATGAACAGATTCATCTATGCTTAAGCAATTTACATATAAAGAGAGGGCATTAATATAAATAGAAGCAGAGAAGAGCAAATCTTAACTGGAACTCAGCCTTTAATATTAAGAGAAAGGATTATACAGAAAGAAAACCCTATCAAATCTATATTGCAGAAGGTAATTAAGGTTCAGGGATCTCTAACCCATAGAGAATGCCAGCATACTGGTCTGGCATACCCTGCACACACTTGTTGAAGTAAACAGCTCTAATCTTCTCAAAAGCATGCCAGGTCAGCAAACTGTCGGACCCCGCCTGGTGGCACTTGCCGACGGCACGGTCCACCCCGAGCGACTGAGCCACCCTATTCAATCCCCCATGCAGCCCCTGGCAGAATTTCATCAAGTGTTTCACATCATAAACTCTGTTCCCAAAAATAGTACTGAGCAAATTCAGAAACTCCGGGAGGGTTCCGGGGAGAGGTTTTCCGGTAATGGCCTTGATGAGGTATCCAAAGTCGTACCCGCTGTGAAAGGTGATGTAGGTAACGTCCTCGTTAAACACGAGGCCTGACGTCACCATGAGCTCAGCAAAGCGGGAGCTGGATGCTCCGAATGTGCGAGTGCTGTCGAAATCAATGCCTTGGTGGCGGAGGAGGTCAATTGAGTTGGGGGCGTGCTCGTCACGCGCGATGTCGAAATCGCAGAAATTGAACTCCCAGATGAAGCGTTGGTCGGCGCAGCCGAGGTCGGGGAGGTTTCCCGAGGAGTCGGAGAGCGTGATCCCTACCTGAATCAGCTTGAGCGCGTCGACGTTGGATTTTAGGGTTTTGTAATGGTCGATGGGGTCGGAGTAGTGGTGGCGGTGGCGGAAGACAATGCCGGGAAATTCTGTATCCATCGAGACGAAAGGGTAACGATCGATGATGCTGCTTATGAGGGAGAACTCAAATTCGAGATTCTGTGACCAGACTGAACGGACCAAGACCGAACTTTTCGGATAGCGTGACTTGGCGTCCGCCGCCGTACACGGCGGCCAAATATTGGTGCCAGAACGCGGTGATTGAGGCGGTGTGGGGACGGCAGCGGGCATGGTGGGGCATTCAGATTGACGGGATAGCGATTGTTGGATTTGGGGGAAAAACTAGGGCTATATAGGAATATTATATATACAGAGAGAGAGAGAGAGAGAGAGAGAGAGTCACGGGGGTTACTGCGTGTGTTTGTTGGGGGTGGGGTTGTGGGTGTTTCTTTCGTGTGTGTATGTAAACATGTATCTATATGCGACGTGGGTAAAGAGAGAAGAGGCCGATTAATTAATTGGGCCTTTCCGACTAATTGGGCTCCGGAAGAGAAACTGGAAATTGGGGATGTGAAACGTCGAGTTGTAAAATGACGTTATTGCCCCTAATTTATTTATTTTTGTTGCAATTCTTTTTAGTTCTTAATTTCTTATTGCTGACAGCTCTATTTATATTTTTGTATTTCTGGATTAAATGAAATAGAATTCCATTGAGTTAAAATGGGAAAGTTCCCTCTCGTGATGTTTATAAATTTTTTTATGACGAAAAATTGGAGGTATTTGTAAAATATAATTGATTTTGAAGGACTAATTTAAAAACTCGATTAAACTGTAAGCAAGATTGAACGATCATGTGTTCGACTCAATTCATTGACAATCATCAGGTCAAACAAAATGAAATAATCTGATTCCATTACCACAATGGTCATTTACAAAGTCAAAGAAAAAAAAAAAGTCAACTCACGTACACACCAAGTATACATTACAAAGTCAACTCACAAGTTGAGATAAACACCATTTGAAATAAAGAATGACACCATGTAAATCCTTCATTGGTCAATTTTACCCTTACATGGGGGCAAAATCAGAGAATTCATGAACACAAATACTATGGATATTGACAAGATATCTTCAATGATAGTCACACAGAACAAATTCCATCACCAAACATCCCAACATCGTTCAACAAGAAAAAGAACCCGAATTCAACAGAGTTTCAACTTACATCTTAAAATAATATAAACTATAAAATAAGCATATGGTGATCGTGATCGGACAATAGAGGAGGTTGAAATATGTTTACACTAGAAATAGGTTCCTTCAGGGGGCTGGACCAGCTTACGGTTGTGTGGAGCAGCCATTTCTTTCTTCAGCTGAGTCAGTATGTCTTCCATTGTATACTCCCTCTGCCAATTTGATAGAATCGCAAACTTCTTCGGCTCCACCTAATCCCAATTTCCAAAGCATGCACAAATAGTGCAAAAAATGAGAAGTTAACAACAGCCAAAAGGATCAAAAATCCAAATCTAGCAGGAGGGTATGGAAGTAAATATCATACCACTCCAGATTCATGGTTTACGCAAGTCATGTTAACCCGGGAATGGAAACGAACACCTGGAGGCTTCTCTGGATAATCTTTATCACAAAATAGCTTCAACTGATATATGCGCCCTTCATGTACAGACTGGCAGGAAGAAAGAAAACATGCAATTCAGTTATTTGCATAAATAAAGAGTAGCAGCCAAGGGTTTTAAAAGGAAAAAATAAACTAACTATATTCAATCAGCACAACAATAGAAGAAATGAACATTAAAGCCCCCGTTCAAATATTTCAACAAGTTTAACCACCTAACACATCAACAGCAAGCATATCTTTGATGCCTTTTGATCGATCTTAACACAATCAGTTGTGCAACCATTAGCCATGAGTTAAAAAATTGTTTGAATTAACTACTAAAATTACCGAGAAAAGACTCAGCCACATAAACATATTTCTGTTAAGAAAGATGGATTCTTGCCGAAATTCTCCATAAATTATAAGTGACTAACAAATGAAAGCATTTATGCGGAATACAAAGCAAATAAACTATCACTAAGGCTTATAGCCTCAGAGCCAACCCACAATGGGATATGGTGAGATGTCAGAAGTTCGATGGGGTGCATGTGTTGTAAGGATATGTTCACACTATTTCTTTTAAATACAAATCAAATAGAAATATATGATTGTAAGAGAATTTCAATTCGTTGTTTTCATTCCAAAACCCTCGCATTGAAGTACCAATACATGTCGCACCAAACAAAAGCATGCCCGCTCAAACTTTATTACTCGACATCAAAATTAATGCAATAGTATATTCCGAGAAGATGCTCACATTATGAGGACCAATTATGGTACCAGTCCAAGATCGCATGTAAATATCATCACCATCATCCATTCCATAGCTCACAGTCCCATCACTGATTCCCTTTTCTCCACGTTCAAGCTCCTCCAGCAATCTGAAATTCCTAGGGACTGCAAAAAGAAAAAAAAAAAAATAGGTACAAAGAATAGCTAATCAGTTCAGCCATTAACACATGACAATGAAGCTTGCGTGCAACATATTCAAAAGTGAAATGATAACGCCATCTTAGTACGATTTCCCTTCGCACAGTTGATTGGTCAAATCATTCAAACACGAAATCATGGAAATAAGCACAAAATCAAGACAGTATATCACTGAAATAAAATCAAATTAAATGTCATGTTCCTATTTAGGTTACATAACAAATGTAGAGAGCAACGAGAACCACGGGGACACCACGAAATGGCAACAAAGAAGAAACTCATCAATCACTCAACATAGAAATTCAATTGAATTATGCAACTAAGTCTGTATGTCAGATTTTTCGATCATGTCCAAGCAGCCGAATTCCATCGAATCAATATTTCCTCAACATCACCCAATTAATTACGATAACCAAAGCGTAATATGAACGCGTGTTTCTTAAGATCCGACACCTAAATATTGAATCAATTGCAACAATAAAACCCCACGAAATTCAACAACTTAATTGCAGACTGAGCACGATAAAAGTATGAACATGAAGAAAATTCAAACGAAAAAAAAGGAATAGCATTAAAATGAATTATCTTATTAAGAGGTGGAAAAACGTTACCGACAACACTGGATCCACCTGAGCCAAGGGTCATTGTGTAAATATTCAAACCTGGTTTCTGCGTATAGATCGATTTGATCGGAGAGAAAGGTGTTTTTGGAGAAGGCGGAGTCGGGAGAATCTACAGAAGAAGAACGCTAGTTTGAGGGCTTATAAATTATAATGGTTGGGATAAAGGGGGTAAAAGGTACGAATAAAATAATTGGGGAGCTCAGTGTGGAAGACAAAAACTTCAAAATCAATTTCTTTTTTATTTCATAAAAGACTATAAGCCCAAAGTTTTTGGTCCATTAAGTCCCTAACCGAGGCCCAAAGGCCTATAGTGTGAAAATATCACACTCGCCGCCGTTCTACACCCATTTCATTTTTCCTCCACCCCTAAAAGCCGACAATGGCGACGCTGAAAGAGATTCTAACTCGACGCCCTGTGGCGGCGACGATCCGGCTCACCGTGCCAGCTGGCGGAGCGAAGCCGGCGCCGCCGGTGGGTCCAGCGTTGGGTCAGTACAGGCTGAATCTAATGGCGTTCTGCAAGGACTTCAACGCGCGTACACAGAAGTACAAGGCTGAAACCCCAATGGCAGTCACCATAACCGCGTTCACAGATAACACCTTCGAATTCTCGGTGAAGTCTCCATCCGTATCGTGGTACCTGAAGAAGGCGGCCGGAATCGAGTCCGGCAGCAGCCGCCCCAGTCACGTGACCGCCTCCACAATCACCGTCAAGCACGTGTACGAGATCGCGAAGATCAAGCAGAGCGATCCGTTCTGCCAGTACATGTCTCTCGAATCAATTTCCAAGTCCATCATCGGAACTGCCAATTCCATGGGGATTAAGGTTCAGAAGGAGCTCGATTAAATTTCAATTTTATGGTAAATCTTTTTTTTTTTTTACTTTCACATTTGAACTGTAGTAATTCTGTATTGCGAAAATTCGATCTTAATTTCGCAATGAATAATTCTTACAATGAGTAGTCAAATGTGGATTGGGCTTAATATTTAGGGTTTGTGTTTTTTGTTGTTGTTTGTTTCGATTATCTTCTATTCAACACCTTTTGTTTAGCTCAGTCGATAAAACCCGGTGGTCGAATCGTATTTGCATCTCCAAGAAATCAGAAAAATTCCCGATTCTCCTTTTGGTGTTTCGACTCTTACATAAAGTTCTTGCTTGCGCAATTCGAAACTCCTTGGTCTTTATAAAAATATTTATTGTGCCTTGAACAAAATCGAATTACGGGTTGCTGTAATTTCTTTCGGTAAATTTCTTCACAAGGTGAAATCTTGTGAAGGATGATCAACAGCTTATGTTATATTGCTTTACTCTAAATATATTACCTCAAACTAAATATGATTATGTGTTCATTAAGTCGTCATCATCGAACATTACGTAATTGTAATTGCGATGGTACTATAGTAGTGATTGCTTGTGTTGCCTTTTCTCTCTTTTCGTCAAACTTGGCGACGTGCATTTGTCGAAGGTGGTAGTTATTGAGCTTCTGTTTATCGAAATGCATAAAAAAATTCGTATATTTCTGTAAATTATCCGAATTATGTGGTCTCTGTAAGATGATTCTTTTCACAGTAGGAATAGACGAAGTGCAAAATACTTGCGCATCTTTCGTGGGTAAATGCCAAGAACTGAGGTGGATGGTGTCAATTCTGTTAAGCGGTGTTTCACTGTTTTGTCTGTCTACGACCATAGACTATCGACCTGCATTTTTCACAAGTTAGAGGTGGGGCAGATGTAATTATTCGCAAAATTTAGTTCTAACTAGCACGATTTCGACGTAAATGACTCTCTTTTGTAGATTGTAGATTTGGGGTTTACAATTTACATCCCTTCGATAACTTAATCGATCCGAGAGAAGAAGAAAACGAACGAATATTTTGGACGAAAGTAAAATAAAACACTCAGGATCTTTAACATTTAAATCAATCTTGTGAATGTAAAACCAATGTTGATGAACTTTAATGAGTTATATATATATATATATATATATATATATATATATTACACATATCAAATAGACCAATTTTATCTTTAATTTTGTATTATTTGAAAGTAATATACCCTACCAAGCAGCAGCCCCACACCAGCTGCTCAGAACCCAGACTCCATTAATATAACCAAGCTAAGGAAACCAAACAACATTGCCATATTACAACTCTCATTCCCAATTTAGATACATCAAAATGAAATTTCCGTTTTTGTCGAAAACCACCGAAATAAAAACCACCGCCACCTCTGCCACCTCACCATGGTTGTGGCCAAGTTGTGCCACCAGCCCCAGAACACAATCTTTTAGGACCACCACTGATAATGGTGGCAATATCTACAAGACCATGCATTCCGCCTATAATCTTGACGACAAAAACAACAAAGAATTTCTCGGCCCTTTCGGAAACCATCACAGAGAAATCTCGAATCCTGCGAAACCCGAAAATATTATTGAGTCTGCGGTGATCAGAGGGCTGTTGTCGGAGAGGCTCTTCTTTGAGCCTGGCGAGACGAGTTCTGTCCTGGAAATAGCAAAAACCGGCGAGGGTCGTGATTTGTGTAAAGAAAGAGTGGCAATAATGGAGGTAGAGTCGAGGGATCCGTTAGTTGATTTCAGGGCTTCGATGGAAGAAATGGTGGAGGCTCGTCTTAACGGTATTGAGGACTGGGAGTTTTTGGAGGAGCTTTTGGCTTGCTTTCTCAGAGTTAATGACAAAAGCAGCCATGGATATATTCTTGGAGCTTGTGTTGATTTGCTGATTCGTCATCTTGCTAACTCGGAAGCTTCTAAAGATCTTCTAACTCTGCCATTGATGAAAACTGTTCTTCTTCTTATTCATCAACTACTACTACTACACAGTGTTCTTTCACTTCTCCTATGTCGTCTTCTTCTTCTTCTTCGACATATTCCTCTATCGCAGCTTGTTTACCTTCGCATGGAAACGAGGATGAGATCACCATCCAGAAACATAAAGACAGCTCGTCGTTATAATTTTTGTATAGTGGTCCTTGTTCAGGTGTTTCAATTTATTTTTGAAAATAAAATAAGATTACAAGATTAAATGTTTCAATATATCTAATTTTGTAACATCTTTAGCTATATTAAGATCATTATTTTCTTCGTTTTTTTCAGGTGAAAACGTCTTAAGAGAGCCACCTAGTTCTCGTATCAACTATATTCATATTATTGTGAATCTTACTGCAGCCAACTATCAACTATGGAAAGAAAGAAAAAAAAGCAAATTAAGTACGAGCCTCAACCCGCTTATTTCTATTGGAGATATTAATATTAAATGATACATTTCACTAACAGCTTAAGCTTTTGGTTGAGATGATCATTCGACAATTTCGTGATCGATCGTTATCGTGCCGACGTAGTTCCAACAGTGTATCTATCTATATATCACTTGAAAGCAACACTTCTTGTGATGCAAAAATTTGGAGTGGTCCTATATGTACCTAGTTGCTGCATTATTGTGATTCAGAAATTGAGAAAATAAATAAATGAAGTACTTAAAATTCGGAAAATTTTGTATTTTATAATATCATGCACACATTTAAATCAGGGCCGGACCCAAAGCATGTATGTGGGGTTATTGCATGCCCCTTGAAATTATTTTTTTATTATAAAATATAAATAATAATATTATCCTCTTCAATAAAAGAAGCCTTATATCCACAAAAAAATAAAAGAAGCCTTGACCCGTAACAACTTTCGGGTCATCAACACTTGACCCGTTACAAGGCAACCCAGCCCATTAAACTCCTTAATCGGATCAAAGCCCAAAGCTAGTAAGTAGTAAGTATAAAATGATCCAAAAAATACTCACATAGTAATTAAAATATCCTGAAAAATGTTGACATAATTAGTCAAAATTCAAACACTACCAAATTAATTCACCCCCAAATAGGTTTACGAATTTATTGAATAAATATTAATTCTAAAAAAAAAAAAAAAAAATAATACTTGTGTGAACACTTGTGCTCTAGTAGATAGTTAGGTCAATACTCCATAGCCAAGATAGCTATAAAGGTTTTTAATTTTTATAGCTAGTTTTTGCGGTTAAATGTCACATGTCAATTAATATAAAATTAGTGGAATTAATAATTCAATAATAGTTTTCACGTTTCTTTGGTGATTGACGCTTTTGTGGCCTCAAAACCTGACTCAATTAATAATTCAATAATAGTTTATTTATTTATTTATTTATTTACTTGGTTTTGATTAAATAAATTATTGTAAAAGATATTTTAACATATGCATATTTCTTGTAAAATAAAAAAAATTAAAAATGAATGTATTTTTACAAAAAAATAAAATAGACTCTGAGCATTTATTCAGAAAAAAGACAACACGAAATGGCTGTATTAGTGGCTTTTAACTCAATGTTGACTGCCTATCATGAATCTGTACACAATGATTAAATCTTTCATTTATAGGAATTGATGAAGGAAAATGACTCATGAATGAATGGCCAAATTTTTCATGGATTTTTACTCACTAACTTGTGTCTTTTTCTTGGAAATGAGTCTTTGGAAGGTCTTTTTCTCCATTATTTATCATTTTTTATTCACTTTTTAAAATACTTTCACATGCTTTAATCTTTCAACCCGTGAACTTGTATTTTTTAATTTTTTTTTAATTTAAATGGGATGGAAAAAGAAAGATTATCTGATGAAAAACCTACGGTTATTTGGTGACCTTAATTTATTTGTCTGGAGCTGAACCTAAAAAGGAAAAAACAAGAAAATAATTATCTACTGAGTTATTTGCATACAATCATTTGTTGAGTTGCAACAAAAATAAGAGCTCCAAACAAAGACAAAAATTTGCAGTAAAGCAATAACTACTCATTGAAGACTGTCAAAATTAAACCCCACACTGTAAACGAAAACAAATTAAAGAAGATTGGCTGACGAACTCAGACTTTCGGATCTCAATAAATTAACTGCATTACTATTTACCTTTCCTAAAAGATTCTTTATTTTCACCACTACATTCAATAATTAAATATATAATATTTTATAAATTTAAAATTGCATAAAAATTAGGGTAAATATTAATCACCCTCCGAGTTATTTTTCTGCCCTTACGGAGTTGTGAGTAACATAATCTTGAAGATTTTCATCAAATATTCGTTCCGTACATATTCAAATCTACCCACAGTGGAGTAAATGTGAGGGGTATTTGTAATTAGTAATTACCGACATATATATATATTTACTAGGGTAAAATGTTTGGATTTTAAATTCTACAATATAATAGTGGCAAGTGAAGTATGTGTTGGGATTGTGCATGCATTGGTAAAAATGGTAAATTAAAATAGAGATTCATTGTACAAAACATTAATGGAATCTACCGAGCACAATTTGACTTTGGGCCGGTTGTCACTAATTGTAGTAGAAGCCATAGCATTCAATCTCAAACATGTATTTCCAACTACACAATTTAACTCTTTGCCAGCCTTCTTTAATTTCACCATCATGTATATATCTCTCAAAAAAATATTGTAAAAAAAAATTAGATTATTTATTTTCACTACTAGAGTACTACTACGATTCAATTATTGTGGTCATGTGGTACTTTATTTTGCAATCAATTAGGTGACCACCACATACCATAAATAAATCGGTTCATTCAATTTCAACATGCAGAAACACTGATACAACTGCATAATTGAGTATTGACTGCTGCAATATTTATCCACCAAATTACATTACATGCAATGGAGTTTAGAACAATCAAGTGGCCGGCCTAACCAATCACATTGCGCCATGTCAGAGTCTTGATTGAAAGTAGCAAAAGTTATTTGGTTAATTGCACATTGACACCATTACTGCGAGCTAAGTCTGGGTAGAAATTGGAACCGAATTTTGAATATTCGTCGAATCTAATTCTAAAATTTACTAACTTAAGACAACATTTTTCATTATAAATTTCAAATTCTGAAACAATGTTTCTCATTCCAATTTTCGAAATTTTAATTTCAATTTTTTTAATACATAGTAGGAATATTCTATATATATATATAGAAGAAATATACTATAGTTCTATATTATTGAATAATTTTCAAATTCCAACGCCTATCTTTCCCCACCAAAGAGAGGTACATGTATATATATTACTACTACTACAGAGTCTACAGTTGCAGACTGCAGAAATTTTTGACCCTTCTTCATTTACTCTTTTTAGCAAAAATTGTACCAAATCCAGTACATCCATTTTTGAATTGTCTAATTATTAAAATTGTATATTATATCCTCCAAATAAATTAAAATTTACATGTTCTTAATTAACTTGTCCGAGGTCGGTATCGAGATTATGTGCCAATTAATTTATGTTTACCATAATATATTACACCGGATGAATTCATTTAAATTGTAATTGTATTGTAGATATTTTATATGCAAATATGAGCAATTATACAAACACATGTATGACGAAATTTTACTCATGAACAAAATTCATCGGACGTAGCATCTAACAAACCGTTTATCGAGATCGTCCACAACGAATAATAGATTTATAAGATACAAATTAACTTGATTCAAATCATAGACGCAATGGCCTCGTTACTTAAATTGTTTTCGCTCGAACAAATTAAAGAACACAAATAAAGTATATCTCAATATACAATTAATATAATTAGTAAAAATGCAACTAAAAATATCAAATATAATACAAACAAAGTTATTTCACTAATAAACACAATTTCATCAGTAGTACTACAAATCAAGATTACAATTTTCACATAATTTTTTAATGGCCCCCCATAAAAAAATAACAACATTAATACTAATTATTAAGGGCCATACAAAAATATTGTGAAAAATCCAATCTTCTTCTTCTTCTTGATCTAGGTTATAGTTGTAATTAAATAAAATAAAAAAGCTGAAGCAGCACATGCATCAAAAACCGTGCGAGTACTCAACTCCATTCCAGATCTCTGTAAAAGCTCTAATAATAGTGCCATGGTAGTACGGCGAGTTCAGCTGCAAGAAACAGTTCAGAAGCTCTTTCAGGTCATCTTTCGAGTACAGCTCCTTCTCCATAATCATCTGCAGCATCGACCGGCGGAAATCCAGATACGGGTCGTCGGAATCCTTCTCCACCGCCACGCTCTCGCCGCCGATTCTCCCGAACCCCTGAACAGCCCTCGAGCTCCTCACGTCCGCCTCCGTGGCAGCAGTGCTGTCGGAGGAGTAGCACACCGGCGGCGTGTCCACGGCGGCGGAGAAGGCGGTGTCGCATGAGCTGGAGGAGGAGTAGTGGGCAGCTGGGTTCTGCCGGCGCTGCGGCGGCGGCCGCCTATGTTTTGGCGGTTTGGGGCGGCGGAAGACGGCGGCGGAGAGCCTTGTGCAGCTGCCGCAGCCCAGCTTCACACTGACTGTGTTGAGAATGTACTTTTTCTTGGCGCCGGACATTGAAGGAAGGAAAGAAGGTGGAGGCGAAAATTACGAGGTTTACTTTATCTTATGTAGTAGTAATGTGTGTGTGGGTTATTACTTATGCATTGAAACTTGGGTACTCTCATAATATTGTCTCATCTCTTCTTCTATGTATATATTTCTGCATGTGAGGATTTGGGGGGCCCCGGTTTGGGTGCTAACATCACAGTCACAGCAGTAACTGTACGAGATTTTAATTGGTCTGTCATGAACCAGGGTGACCTGTATGTTACTCTAAAGCGCGTTGAATAAGTCCATCAATTAATTTTTAAGAACATAATCTTCTCTGTTCTGTTGTTGTCAGCGATTAATTAGTATATGCTTCATACGATCAGTTTAAGACAATTATTTAATCTCAAATGTTAAATATGTTTTACTTTTATTAATATCTTTTTCACTTTAACTTAATTTAAACACCTGATTAGATTTAAAATATGGTTTTAATTTTATTAATACCTTTTTCACTTTAACTTAATTTAAACACCTGATTAGCACTTTCGTTTGATAACTTGTTTGAAGAGCTAGTACACGTCTTATTTTTTAAATTATTTTTTAAAGTTTTGGATAATTAGTTTCTAAACTAATTTTACTTTTATAAGATTTTAAATAAAAATATCGGGTAAAGTACTTAAAAAAAAATTCCAGCAACTTATTTTTTGAATTTTTAAGATCTTTAATTTTAGATTAACCAAACAATTTAGAAGAGCTTGTAAGCTCTTAACAATCTTATAAGCTCTTTTTAACGATTTTTTAGTAGAAAAGCATGATGATCGGAGAATAAATATTACACGAAGTATGTGTCAACAAGACAAATTAATCGCAATTTATTTTCCACATATATATTGCTCGAAATTTCAACCTTCACTTATTGCGTTATTAAATAAGTAGTGGTTGTTGATCAAACTCGAAACACGTTGAGCAACCCATGTCGAACCAGCTTCACTGCACGAGAAAGCGTGAGTATGACCCTTGTTTTCAATCTCCAACACTACATCAGGTACCTGCTTTTTTATCTATGGTCATCGTAATACAACAAAGAAAATAAATTAAATTACTGAATCAATAATTTGTAATTAATAATATTTCAGCAAGGTCAAGAAATCGTATGATTTACCTCTTCGTATAAATGCAACGGACCCCAATGATCGTCGAGGCCGTACAGAAAAGCAATTTGTTTTTTCTTTTTATTGATAAACTCCCAATCCGGTTTTTCTGGCAGCTATAATTGTCATTACGTAAAATATTAATAACACAAAAATTGCAGGATTGTTATTACAAAACCGAAAAAAAAAAAAGAAATAGTTTACCTTCTGAAATTCGGTCATTGCCATGAAGAGTATATTCCGCAGTGTGTGATACTGAAAATAAATTTACGAGCATTAAGATCCATACGAATCAACATAAATTAATCATGCACCATAAAAATACGTGGAGTATTAGCAAGAATGTGACTTCACCTGGAGAACATGGGTACATAAAACCTCAATTGCAGAAGAAGACCATGATTTTCCCATAGAATTTTTCACGATTAATCTTGTAATTTGAGATGGAAGCATTCCCAGAAAGGCTCCCATGGAACTAAGTACAGCACAAAGTGACGAAGACCTGTCATAATAACTTCATAATTCAGTTGCTCTTTAAATAAATATGCATAATAACGACGCTAAATAAACAGAGTCGTACGCTGAAATTCTTCTAATGGAAGACTGTATTGAGGATGCTGTGTCCACAGCAAGAAATGGATACAGACCAATGCAATATACAACCTATAGTAGAGTCGAGAGGGTACTTATGTCAGCACAAAAAGTTAGTAGAAAATAAAATGCAAAATGATAAAGATCGAACTTAATGCATACCTTCTCTTGAGACCATTTAAATATTTCAAGAGAGATGTATGAACCAATGGAATGGCCAACCTTGAGACGAATAAATTTCAAGTCATTACAATAATAAAAAAGTATAGCAATTCGAACATAAAAAAAAAAAATTAAACGGAATGAAATAGCTATTCTAGATTCAGTTTCTTGTTTATTTGTGCAACTGCTTTTACGAGGCGTTTACAAATTGCGGACCGGTATATGTTCTCAAGTCAATAATTGCGAAAACTTAGAGATATATACAGTAGAATGTCAAATAAATAACGAGCCATAAGGGGCAATTGTAAAACATGATTTACCAGTACTATAGGTACTTTGACATCTCGAAGTTCCTGCTCGATGAAGTTTATCTGGAAATGGGAGAAAACGAGATAGCAAAAACTGAGACAAATTGGCGAATTACAATCTAAGACTATGGCCTCGTTCGGCTAATACTATGATTAATTTACCTTATGATTGATTTGTTCTTGTAATGAGAATAACCTCCCCGACTCCCAGTCCTAGCAGCAGAAAAAACCATACATATTGCAGCCATTAAATCCGATTAAATCGATATGAAAGGTTACACAATATTCCATAAAAAAAACTAGGAAACACGTCTCGATTTAATTTCCGATAAAAAACCAACTGCTTGAATATTATTTGAATAATAAATATCAATCGACACCGGAATTCGGTAGAAGACAACAACCTTTTGCGAGTGGGATATGTGGCCAATAGCTTCATCAAGAAAAAACAATGAACCATCAGCACCACTTGCATAGTATCGAA